CTTTTTCTAAAATTAGTTAGTACTCTATATGACCATTAATATGACAAAAGTTTAGAATATATATATATATATATATATATATAAATCTTCTAAATTTTACACCTTAAGAAAAACTGCTAAAGAATCAATATAGAACCAATGGATTATGAGATTAGTGGCAATAAAATAGTCCTTAATTGTTTTTATTCTGTCCCATATCAGGTGACTTTTCTCACATGAGACAGAGATTTTGGATTTTAATTTAATAAGCACGTGTGGGTTTGTAGACGAAAAGAACCACACCCCCAACTCCAAAATCAGCTTTAATTTTTAATTAGACTGACTACAGAAAGACCATTTGCATTATATGTCTGTAGAGAATAGCAGAAACAAACATTTGAGAAGATTTATAGAATTTTATTCCGTTGGAAATGTGATATACCATTAGGCCAATTTTTTTCTTGGGACAGTTTTTTTCTGGATGATTTGTCCTTTTTCTTCAGCTGTCTCATTTGTCCAGTGGTCTTCAGATTCCTTAGCTGAATTCCTTTATTCTCCTGAAAAGACAGAAACAGAATCCTTCCCTAGCCCTAATTTTGGGGAGATTCTCTTTTGGCAAGTTATATCTGATCAAATGAAAAGCATTTGTTGATTTTATAGGTTAGTTTAGATTAAACGCCATACTGTTTGTTGAACTATCATCTCTTCTAATTAAGAGGTGTCTCTTGTTTAAATCAAATCTTTATCATTTTATGATATTCATAACTTTTCTTCTCTTGTGGAAACAAAAATGAAACCTTTTCCCTAACATAACACATGTTTTTGTTTCCATTCTGAAGTTAGTACAACTTTAAAGTATATTGACAGATTTAATTTTGTAGTTTTTTCTGCTATCCAATGTCTCTCCATAGCTGTTGTATCTTTCTCATTAGCATTAAAAAAGTTCAAAGTTAACAAAGCATTATGCAGTCCATTTCTGCGGGGTCTTTGTCATCCTGTTCTTTTTGCTTAGCATATCCCTTCAAGTTCAGTGTGATCTTTCTATACCTGTCTGGCCTGTAGAATTGTGTGGTATAACTGTAATATAATATTTATATTATTATTATAAGTAAAAAGCAGTTTCATTTTTCTTAGAGACATGCTGGAGCACTTTCTGTCTTTATTTGTACAGGTATACCCATGATGACCATAACTTCCAGGAAATACGTAATTACTGAATCAGCTTTTTTCAAACTCAAAGCAGTTGCCCATTGAAAACCTGCATAAATATCAATGGTGGTGTACATATTGTAGTTTTCCAAATGCTACAAAATGGAACACACCCATCTGCCAGATTTCATTCCTTTGAGTACTTTGAAGGAAGTGGTATTTGGTTGTGTAAAGAACAAGTAGAATATTTTCTTATAATTTCCTTGACTTGTTGCCACGTGATGAAAAAAATCATTTTTAAACTTCTGCTGTTGGCACAAAGTTTTTTTTTTTTAAAAAAAAATCAAAATTCTGAGGCCTTCAGCATGTTTTTGATCAGTAGTTGATCAATTTCTGTATTACCTTATGCTAGAGGACCTGGCAGACATGTATGGGATCAGTTGTGTGTTATGTATATGGGATGATTCCTATTTTTGATTGTATCTGTAACTGAATAAATAATAAAATTCTGTATCATTTGACATAAATTCAGCCATTTCAATATGCAAACCAATTCTATATACTGTGAATCAGTAATTATGTTGAGAGGTTCTTTAAAATCCCTTAGTACTATGAGAATAGCATATAATTCTGACTCTTGGACAGAATCATAAGGACTTTGAACCACTTTACTTAAATTTTCTGATTTTTAACTTCCCTTTCCAGATTTATTTGCATCAGTATGGAAAGTAGGAAAGATCCAGTTAGTTCTCTGTATAAGTTGAATTCTCTTGCTTTTGGGATAGTTGTTGTTTATCTCTCTCAACAAATTACTATAAGCTCTTTGCCAGAGTTCACTTTTTTCCCATAATTTGTCAATCTCATCATTATTAAAAGGTTCTATAATTTCTGCTGTGTCTATTCCTGCTAATTGACGAAGTTTCAATTTTCATTTTAGAATTAACTCAGAGACCTTTTCCACATAAGTTTTTAATTTTTTTACTTGTTTTATTTGGTAAAAAAGAGTCATTCTAAGATAATATATTCTCTCTGTATTAAAATTCCTGTGAGAGAATATTTGGAGGGTAATATGACCAGAATGCAGTTAAGATTTGGATCTACATAATCCATATGTGTCTTCTGTAATTTCTCTTCAATCAAAGCCTATTCTCTCATCTTCATCTGATAATTTCCTAGGACTATTTAAGTCCTTGTTACCATAAGGCTTTAAGTTAATGAGTTCATGAGGTTTTATCCCAGTAGTGCACCATAGATGGGAAATGTCTACTAGTAATCTTTGGAAGTCATTAAGAGTCTGCAGTCAGTCCCTTCTAATTTGCGCCTTTTGTGGTCTAATTGTCTATAAACCTATTTTATAGCTTAAATAATTAATAGAATCTCCTTTGTATTTTTGGGGGATCAACTTGTAATCCCCAGCAAGGCAAAATTTTCTTTACTTCTTCAAACATTGTTTCGAAAGCAACTACATTTGAATCAGATAGTAAAATGTCATCCATGAATGGTAAACTACAGATTCAGGAAATTGCTTAAGTATTATTCCCAGTTGCTAACTTACGAAATATTGGTACATCCATTGGGTGGGGCTATTTAACCTTCCATGTGGGAGAACCTATTGATATCTCTTAGCAGGCTGAAAAGTATAAGTAGGCACTGGGAAGGCAAAATTTTCTCTTTCTTGTAAAGGTATAATGAAGAAACAATCTTTTAAGTCAGTAGCTTTAAGTGACCATCCTTTGGCAATAGATAAGGCAGAGGAATGGCAGACTGTAGAGAGCCCATTGGCTGAATCACATTATTAACAGCTCTTAGATTTGTTACCATTCTTCCTTTTCCAGATTTCTTTCTAACATCAAATACTGGAGAATTCTAAGGACTGGTTGATTCTTCAGTATGCTGAGCATCTAGTTGCTCCTGTACCAGCTGTTCTAAAGTCTGTAGTTTCTCTCTTGTTAAAGGCTATTGTGCAACCAATGCAGGTTTATCTGTCAATCATTTTAAAGGTAGGGCTGTTGGTGTCTTTGGAAGCTGTGGTATCTTGTTCTTTATAATAGCTTGTTATATTTTTCCCAGAAACATATGCTAATTTATGGTTTGTTTCTAAATTTAAGGGAATGTTAATTTGAGTATTCCATTGCTGTAACAAATCGTATTCCCACAAATTCATTGCTGTGTTAGCCACATATTGTTTTGATACTCTTTACTGTCCTCCTGACCCTATTCATTTGACTGATCTCATGCTCTGCTTTACCTGAAGTATAGTTCCAGTTCCCAAAAACACTTTAATCTATTCTATCTAGTCTTTAGGGCTAATTCTATTACAGACTGACCACGAGTTTAACATTTGATTCACAAAAGGTGAATGCATTCCATATGAGACTTGCTTCTTTGAATCTTCTTAACTCTAACTTTGGCACAGGAGTCCATTCAGCTCTTACTCTGTCATTAGGCAGTTCCTGTAAGGTTACTGGATATATTAAAGTTGGTTGTTTGAAAACCTTAGACTGTTCCTCTCTATTCTTATAATGTAACACTGAAATTGGTTTTCTGTTAAATTCCTCTGTTTGTATTTGAATGTCTCTGTGATCTGTTTTATTAAGTTTTTCTTAGACATGCCTCTTTGTACTCAGATTAACCAACTTTTTTAGTGATACAGCATAAATGATGCAACTGATAATGTTTACAATTGACATTACACAAGTCCCATCTAAGTAATCCTCTCATTTAATAGTTCCATTTTCAAACTGCCTAGCATATTATCATACAGAGACTCAAATCTCTCCATTGTAATGGTTTTTCACATTCTTTTCTATCCTAAAATAAAATCTTTCCGTTTCAGAATTGTATTTGAATTATTTGTGAATTCATGCTTCAAGATACTTCTAAGTAGGGGCCAGGAGAGATGGTTCAGTGGTTAAGAGCACTGCCTGCTTCGGAGGTCCTGGATTGACGTCTCAGTACCCATCCTCATGGCAGCTCACAGCTATCTGTAGCTTCTGTTCCAGGGGGGTCTGACATCCTGTTCTGGCCTCTTCAGGCACAGCAGGCATGTGGTGCACAGATAAACTGCAGGCCAAACACTCATACACATAAAAAGTAAAAAGATACTTCTGGGTAGTTCAAAATATACCTTGTTTGGTAAAACTATTAAAAGGGAATGAAGACACACTCTCCTTAGAAAATGGTTGGGTAAGCCAAGTGACACAGGTTCCACTATTTTGGTAATTCTAGAGTTTTTATCATGAGTTTTGCAATGCAGGAGCTAGCAGTGGTATTCTCTGGGAAAAGATGTAATCATAACTGGGAAAGTTTCCTTCCCTGAAGCATTCCCATCTTCCTACCTCAGACATCCTGGAGACCCACGCTGTGGTGAGACACCCTCAGCTGGTCCAGTGCATTCCTCCCTTCTGTAGAAAACTGCTGAGACAATCCCTCAGGCATCCCCCAAGTTCTCCGACCACAGACTGCTAATTTCTCAAAAGTTAGGCATGTTAGGAATCTTAGACCAGATTGTAAACTTCAGAATCAAATGGTAAGGCTTTGTTGTGCTAGCATCAGGTTTTAGTTTTGGAAATCTCCCTGGCTTTTATAATGCTCTTATCTTCTGACTTTCCTAATTTTTTAAAATTCTGATTTTAGAGTTTAACTTCTAGTAGCTTCAGACTCTGGAAAAGTTTGTATTTATCCAAGAGAATGGGATAACAAAAAGTTAAATTATTAGGTTTTTGCCTAGAAGCATTTTAAACATAGTGCTAATTTATTTAATTTAATTGTCTATGTTAAAATAGTTCCTAAAACTTCTTTTAATTCTAAAGTATATATTTCTATGTATATATGTATATTTTATAATCAAAACTTCTATATTTTAAATCCAGAAATTTCAAGATATTGAAGAAACTCATCTCATTCACATAAAGGAAATTATAGGATCCTTGTCAAATGCTATAAAGGAAATTCATTTACAAATAGGCCAGGTAAATTTTTTGCTTTATGTTGAAGTGGTTTATAAAATTTTTATGTTCACTTACAGCTCTTTATTAAGTTTTTTATTAAGTTGTTTATCAAGTCTTTCATCACATTATTTGGAAATCATACATATGATAATTGTTTTTGATGAAGAATATGTATTTATATGTATTTTCTTACTGATCACCAAGCATGATGATTTTTTGTTGTTGTTGTTATTATTTGCTTTTTGAGACAGGTTTTTTTTTTGTGTGTGTAACCTTGGCTATCCTTGAGCTCACTCTGTAGACCAGGCTGGCCTTGAACTCGGATACCCTTCCGCTTCTGCATCCCAAGTTCAGGGATTAAAGCATACACCACCAGTGCCTGGCTGAAACTTATTTTTTTTTTAAAGTTTACTTTTGATGTTTTTTAAATTATGTGTGGGTATGTACATATGACAGAAGGTGCTTCAAAGTCAGAATTGCCATCTTGCCCAGGAAGTGGAGCTACTGGTGTCTATGAGTCTCTTCAGTGGTGGTGGGGATTGTATTTGGGTCCTCTGGTCAAACAGCCACTAAACCATCTGTCCAGCCCCAATTTAAATTGTTTTATAGTAACTGAGTTGTATAACTATATAGTTACTATATAACTGTACTTATCAGTATTACTATGTACTTAACCTTATACTTAGTATATATTAAACTACTGGTTATTTTAAGTAGTTATATACTTCTAAGAATTAACTATATAGTACTCTTAATACAAATTGGATGTTACCAACTTCAGATTATTTTTCTTTTCAAGTTTTACTATTCTAAGTTTAGAGCAGCAACTTCAGTAATTAGAAAATATACATGTGAAAGTGTTCAGTGATAATCTGGGGTGTACTGAAGTAAAGGAAAGAAAGGAAGAGTCTTTTCCTTTGCTACTTAAATGCAAACATTAGGTAGGCAGTGGTGATACACACCTTTAATCCCAGTACTTGGAAAGCAGAAGCAGGCAGATCTCTGTGAGTTCAAGGCCAGGCTGGTCTACAAAGAAAGTTCCAGGGTAGCTGAGACTTACAGAGAAACCCTGTCTTGAAAAATCATAAAAAGGAAGAAAGAAAAAAAAAGAATTCTGTCTCTAAAATAATCGAAGTAGCAATAATAAATTGACTATAAAGTAATATCTTAGTGGAGACGGTAAGCAGACATTGGTCTCTAGAAATCTGCCAACATAGGAAACAACATGAGAGATAAAAAAAATCTGATGTAACTTTTGTTTTGTTTTTTGAGACAGGGTTTCTCTGTGTAACAGTCCTGACTGTCCCGGAACTCTCTCTGTAGACTAGACTATCCTCGAACTCAGAGATCTTCCTACCTTTGCCTCCTGAGTGCTGGAACTAAAAGCATAGCTTTTTAAATTGCCTTGTAAAGTAAGAATGCTAGTTTAAAAAAGAAAAATAAAGTAAAAAACTTTATTCTTTTTTAATAGGTTCATGAAGAATTTATAAATAATATGGCTAATACTACAATTGAAAGTTTGATACAAAAATTTGCTGAGTCAAAGGGCACAGGGAAAGAAAGACCTGGTAAGATGAAACAAGTACTTACCTTGTTATTTTTTAAATTGTGACTTTATATCACATACCCTGAACAACATTTTTAAACTGTAAAATGGAGTGAATCATAAAAAATGAGTCATGTTTGTTTGTTTATTGTATATTTATGAGTGTTTTGCCTACGTGTCTGTATGTGTACTAGTCTCATGCTTGGGGCTGGAGAAGGCTAGAAGAGGGTGTCACATTCTCTGAAATTGAATGACTCAGCCACCATGTGAGTGCTGGGAATTGAAGGCAGGTCCTCTGCAAGACCAATAGCTAAACCACTTAGCTATTTCTCCAGCCCTTAAATTAAGGCTTTTGTTACAGCCTGTAGTGGTTAATAATTTAGTTACTTAAAATGGTCATTTAACTTTTACAAAATGAAACTATTTGTGGCTTGTTTGGACTTCTGAGAGGAGTGTTAGCTATTGATACAGAAGACCTGTTTAATGAAGGAAGATGAGGAAATACTGACCCTTCAGCACTGAGACTAATATAGGACCTTTCTTAAAATTTAATGGCTTTCTTTTTTTCATGCACATACATTTCTAGGGAGTGTTTTTTATTGAGTGCCAACTGTGCAAAGCATCAAGAATATACAAGTGAATGAATGTAGGGGTCTTGCTTTCTAGAACTCAGCATGTAGACCATGCTAACCTTAAACTTACAGATCTCCTCCTACTTTTGCCTCTTGAGTGCTGGGATTAAAGGCAGTGTGCTAGCATGCCTGGCCTCCACCTTCTACTTTTTTCAAAAGGTGTATTTTATGTTTTATGTTCTAATTTTTATTTTCTTCTGTTGTTTTAGACAGGGATTCTCTGTACTGTAACTGTAACTGTCCTGGAACTCTATGTAGACCAGGTTGATCTTGAACTCACAGTGATCCACTGCCTCTGCCTCTCAAGTGCTGGACTAAAGGTGTGTGCAGCTATGCCTAGTCCCATATTCTACTTTTATTTTTAATTTTTTTTCATTATAAACTGGTTGAACTATTAGCTCAGGCTTCTTATTAACTAATTCTTTTTTTTATTATTTTATTTTTTTTTGTTTTTCGAGATGGGGTTTCTCTGTGGCTTTGGAGCCTGTCCTAGAACTAGCTCTTGTAGACCAGGCTGACCTAGAATTCACAGAGATCTGACTGCCTCAGCCTCCCAAGTTTTTTAGCTAATTCTTATATCTTACAGTAACCCATAATTCTTGTCTGTGTTAGCCACGTGGCTTGGGACCTTTTATCAGCGAGGCAGTCTCATCTTGCTTCCTCTGTGTCTGGATGACAACTGCAAGCTAACTTTTCCTCTTGCCAGAATCCCATATTCTACTTTTAATGAGCATCTTATGACACTGAATGTAATAAGTAGCCATTATCTCTTTTTATTTAGTATACTTAATATCTTCCTTCCAGCTGCTTGACTTCGTTTCTTACTGTAGTGTATAAGAAATATATTTTAGGGCTGGAGAGATGGCTCAGCAGTTAAGAACATTGCCTGCTCTTCCAAAGGTCCTGAGTTCAGTTCCCAGCAACCACATGGTGGCTCACAACCATCTGTATAGAGGTATGGCACCCTCTTCTGGTCTGCAGGCATTCACGCAGACAGAACATTGTATACAAAATAAATAAGTAAATATTTTAAAAAATATATATTTTATTCCACAGGTAAAAACAATTCATTCAACTTAATTAAACTGTGGCATGGAATTTAGAAAAATAGATAAGCAATAAAAGAAAAGTTTAAGAGTCAGTTTTCTTCAATATATCACAAAAGCATGACTTGAAGCCTGAGCCATCTAAAGTTTCTTTTCTTCCCAAATCTCATTAATTTTTAAATGTTAGTAATTGAATTATATTGGTATTTCTCCCTCAAACCTTTTTGTTTTTTTTTTCTCTCTCTCTGGATGATTAATTTGCAGTTTTATTGCACTGGTATAATAGATATTTCTTACTAGGTTCCTTTAAAACATTATAGCCACATATGTGTTTGACTATGCAATTAAGAACTTAAAATTATGGTATTTACAAATCTTTGAATTTTTATTATAGACAGAATATAAGTTAAGATCTGTACTTGAGGGGCTGGAGAGATGACTCAGTGATTAAGAACACTGGCACTCTTTCAGAGGACTCAAGTTCAATTCTCAGCACTCACATGACGGCTCACAACCATCTGTAACTCTCGTTACCCGGTATCCAACACCTTCATATAGCATATATACACCCGTTCCCATTAAGTAAATAAACAGCTAAATAAATAAATAAATCTTTTTTGAAAATCTGTACTTGAATTTGAAGTCCTTGAAGATGTGTGATTCAATACCCTCACTTTGGGTAGCTTGCGAGTTCCTGCACAGGCCTTTCTTTGTCTTTGACACTTTAATTGTGCTATATCCCTACTCTAGAGAATAGTGCGTTCCACATCTTTCCATTTTTTTAAGAAGTAAATGCCCTTTTAAAGAGCCAGGTCACATATTAACTCCTTTCATCAAAAATTTCCCTGAACGTCATACTTCTCCTTTGTGTACTTGTGGAAACATACCCTTCTCTGTTCATCTTTTATTTCTATGTTTATAAATAGTGTGCTGAATAGTTTTATTATTTATTTACAAATAGTTTATAAATAAAATGATGAGTAAGATTAGACTGAAGTGGATGAATTTACTTTTAGAAAAATCTTCATTATGTGGACATAAATCATTATACTTAATACTTAGTGAACACTAGATTCTGTGTCCTGAACTGTTAGTCACTTTGCAGAGACACTTTGGTTTCTGAAGTAGGTGCTATATTTCAGTTTTATAATTGAAGTGAGAAGCTAAAGATAAGGGGCTGGATAGATGGTTCAGAGGTTAAGAGCACTGATTGTTCTTCCAGAGGTCCTGAGTTCAATTCCCAGCAACCACATGGTGGCTCACAACCATCTGTAAAGAAATCTGGTGCTCTCTTCTGGCCTGCAGGCACACATGCAGTACAGAACACTGTAAACAAAATAAATAAATAAATCTTTGGGAAAAAAAAAAGAAGCTAAAGATAACCCTAAGTTAGCATATGGTAAAGCTGGGATATTAATTCCATGATATCCGCCCACCACCACATACACATACACCCAGACAGTTATGTCTGTCTGTCTGTCTGTCTGTCTATTTTCTGTATAATAGCCATGACTATCCTGAAGTCACTTTGTATACCAACCAGGCTGGCCTCAAACTCACAGAGATCAACCTGCCTCAGCCTCCCTAGTGCTGGGATTAAAGGTGTGTGCTACTGCCCAGCTTCAGTTCCAGGATTCTTGATCCCAAGGTCAATTGGAGAAAATGGGGACAGACCAAGTTAAAGACAGAATGAAGATGATGCGATATCCAAGTAAAGAAGAGATTTTATCTTTATTCTGGTTATGTCAAGCTGTAGTTTTCACATGTTATCATTGTTGGAAATTGGGCAAGGTGTTCCAGACCTTTCTGTGTTACTTTTTATAAATATATGTGTATCTACAATCATCTAAAAATACTTTGAAAGATTAATTGAAGCCAGTATACTTGAATTGAAATCTGAACCTTAACTTATTAGCAATACTTTCTTTTAAGTCACAGATAATCCAGAGTATTATGTAAAAAGCAAAAGAATCCAAAGAATGAGCTTCAAGTGTCTTGTTCTTCAAATATAAAATCAGACAATAGTTGGAACATTAAAATGTCGTGCTAATCTGTCTCAGCCTCTGGAGTGGAGCCTCTAGGAGCCTCCACCATTCTTAGCTTTGACTGGCATTTTTGATAGCTTTTTTTGTGTATGGGGGGGTATGCAGACCAATCTACTGGTGATACTATGCTGGCCCTGATGTAATTTTTTTTTCACTCTTCTTGTACTTCTTAGGCTTCTTTGCTGCTTGTTTGTATGTGTGCCAGTGTCATTTCCGAAGACTCAGTCAAGGACTGACGTGTGTGGCATGTGTATCATGGAAGACACTGCCACTAGACCATAGTAGTTATCTTCCAAGGGGGATCTCAGAACCCCTCTCATTACAGTGCTCCATGTAGTTACTGCCAGTATCTAGGTCTGGCTCTCATGTTGATACTGTCATCTCTGACTTAGTTGAATAGAGTCTTTGTTTTCACATGTTGACAAGCCAGTTTAAACATGTTTAAGTTAAAAAGTCCATGACTTTTTTAACCTGGAAGGACAGGAATAAGTTCAAGGAAGCGGATATCATCAGGGTTTGTTGTACTCTCCCCTAACCCCTTTCTTATTTCTACTGTCTCTGCTTGGCTTCACTTTCTTACGCTCTAACTGTAGATGTTCTCTGCATTGCTGTGAAGGAGTCTTCAACAGCAGTGACTGTCAGTTGAGAATCCAAGTAGGAAAAATCAAACTTTTGTTTACCTAGTGTTAGTATAGTAATTTTAGGGAAGGTGTTTTTATGGCATGTCTATTTCAGTTCTTCATTATAGTATCAGTCTACTAACTACATTAGACTGTCAAATAGAACCTTTTAAAACTAGAATGCATTGTATATATGTTTGAATTATAGGGCATGATCTTGTTATTCATATTTTTTTAAATGATTTCTTTTAAGATTTATTATGTGTACATTTATGTATTTATTATGTATACAGTATTCTCAGTATTTTGTCTGTATGCCTGCACACCAGAAGAGGGCACTAGATTTCATTACAGATGATTGTGAGCCACCATGTGGTTGCTGGGAATTGAATTCAGGACCTTTGAAAGAGCAGGCAGTGCTCTTAACCACTGAGCCATCTCTCGAGCCCTTGTTAATAATATTTAATCAGAAACCTTAATTCAGAAGGATTTATTTTATAATTAGGTAAACTAGTGGGAAATGTTACATGATTTATTTGATTTGTATTATACTCACAGAATTTTATTACTTACTGAGAACTTGAAAATAATCTAGTACAGTGTATTTATTTAACATAAATATGTTGAAACTTATGAAGACGTGCCTTTGTTTTCATTTCATGTAGATATCCTGGTTTGC